GCTTTTTCAAAAGAGCAAATTTAGTAAAATGTCCACAGTTCTTCCTTCATGATGATTTCTTAGAGATGTCTAACAGAATTTCCAGTCTTTTCCCTCCCCACCCATTGCTGCTAAATCAATCCTTTTCCCGTTGCCTGTAGGATGAAAGGCAAACTACTCAGCTTAGTATTTAAGATCCCACACTGTCAGGCTCAGACTTACTTGCGATCTCAACTTCCCTCTATTTACTGCATTCCAGCCAAGTTAGTATACTTGGCTGGTCCCCACACTTTACATCCTGTCTCTTGTCTCTGCACATTTTTCTCAGGCTATTTCCCTCTCTTGGAATGGGATCCCTTTCCATCTTCATCTTCCAGAATCTTCTTCTTTCAAGGCTCAGCTGTTACCATTGATTCCCCCTTCTAACTCAGATTTTCTTAGAGAACTTTATTCAGATTTCTCCTTTGCCCCTTTCACACACTCTACCTCAAGTATGCTAATTGGTACACATGTTGTATTCCTCCCCTGCTTATTGGAATCTAAGGTCCTGAAGGTTATGCACTGTGTCATAGATCAAAGATGACAGTATTGTAAGTCATCTAGAGCTAGAGGGCCATATAGTCCAATCCCTTCATTAATATTGCAGTGGACCTCAGAGGTCATCTTGTTCCATCTCTTCACTTTACAGATGAGGAAGCAGAGGCCCAGGGATATTAAGCAAGTCAGTTGCCCAGGTAGTAACTGGTAGATTTGAGATTCAAATTCAACTTTTACTCCAGACCTAGTGCCGTTTTCATTATGCCACACCGGGATGAAAAACAAAACAAACTTTGTATCTTCAGGAACAAGCCTACTATCTTGCACTCAGGGCAAGCTTAATTTAATTTGTCTAGTGAGTTTATGAATAATGTGTAAGGAGTTATCATTAAAGCAGCTGCTAAGGGCAGTCATAGGATTTAGGACTGGAAAGGACCATAAAGACCATCTGTCCCCAATCCTTTCATTTTATAGATAAGGAAACTAAGACAAATACTATTGGTACTATCTACTTTCATGAGTTTGTTATGAGGAAAACTGCCTTATAAATCTTAAAGTGTGATGTAAATGTGAGTCCTCCTGACGTTGTTCTTTCTCTTCTTCCTCCACTTTCCTTCTCTCTCCTTCCCTATATCCTGTTTTCTTTCTCCTTTCCCTTCCCTTTTCCTTCTCTTCTTTCCTAACTCACTTCCACCTTCTTCTCCTTTCCTTGTCTTCTCTCCTTTTCTTCCTCTTCCCCTCCTCCTTCCCTCTTCTCACCTCCTCCTCTTCTTGTCCTTCCATCTTCCTCCTTCCTCTTCCTTAACTCCTTTCCTCCTCCTATTTCCCCCTTCTTTTTTCCCCTCCTCTTCTCCAATTTGCTACACCTCATCTTTCTCTCCTTCCCTTCCTTCTGGCCCATCCTCTTTCCATCCTTGTCTGTTCTCCTCCTTTTCATTCTTTCTACTTCTTTCTCTCCCTATCTTCCCTTCTTTCCTTTTCCTTCCTGCTCCCCTTCCCTTCCCTTCCCTTCCATTCTCTTTGACCTCTTTTTCCTACTCTTCCTTCCCTCCCTCTCCTTCTTCCGTTTCTCCCTCCTCTCCCACTTCTATTCTTCCTCTTCCTCCAGTTCCTGCAAAAATACCGGGGTCTGTTTGAGTGTGCTGATGGAAACACTCCAGAACTTTACACGCCACTGCAAAAGATACTAGCCCTTGAAGGTCAATGATACATTCAAACTCAATCCAGGGAATGGATCTGATATATAAGCAGTCCTCATTTCTTCACTCAATACATTCTCTGCAGATAAGTAGAGATGAGGTTCTTGCTGGCTTTCAAAGCTGTTTCACCTGAAAAAAACATGTGTCAGAGGATGAAAAACATTTATCATGCAAATGTACACAGCTACCAACTTCAGGAGAAATACTGCTTCCTTTCCCCCCTCCCCCAACTGCTTAAACATACTGATTTGACTGTCCATTCTATCTGTCCTTTAGCTAACAAGCCTAGTGATTGAATTCAGAATCCTGGTCTTCCATAAGGAATCTCTGAGGCCTAGCTACCAATTTAAGACTTTTTTTTCCTCATGTAAGTCTTCCTGTGTCATTGGCACTTTTTATTCATGGATTGGCACAGTAGCAACTTAGAATTTTTGTTTTGGACCAATTTGGTGTCTTATTAATGGAACTAATTTAAAGTAAAGAATTTGGTTCCTCCCTCTCAGCACCTCTTTTCTTGATTCCTGACTGTGACATCCTCCATCTTTTTTAAAAAAGCGTTGTACTTTTACTTTTTTAATGTTAGTTATGCGCACACAGATTTCCCATAATAATTGTCTCTGAGCAAGACCTACTTTTTCAAGCATTCTCCAGACTCAAAAAGCACAGCATTTTTGTCTGATAAAACAAAATATGCAATGAGTAAATTTCCATGAGTTTTCTTTGCTTAAACTGGAAAACCTCAAGTGTAGCTCTTGGTGGGTGGGGGGAACCAACCACTGGAGAATGAGTAATTTTTAAAAAATATTTTTTATAGTTTTTTAGTTTTGTTCAAGATTGGGAGATAAGGACACAAAATCATGACTTCTCAGCATCTAGCTGCGGTGTATGACTTTATGGTACTCTTACTGTTTGCAATATTGGCTAGACCCTTACAAAGGAAAGCCCTTGTGTTACAATGATTCTGCGTTTGTTTGGAGTTGTGACAGTCTACTGCTGTTAATTTGATTTTGTAGACTGCCCCTCACCCTACCCCACTATGCCCCAGGGTATCTCTAGGTTATAGTTGAGAATCAGCTGTAGATCCTTATTTTCTTTAGTGCCTTTAAAAATAAGGATGTTGGCCAATATTTTAATTGAAATAAGAGAAAAAAGGAAAATAAATCAGCAATTTTGAAATTTTAAATTACTTATTTTAGGTTACTATAGCAGCCAAGAGGAGGATAAGAAATAATGTTATTTTCCAGTTCCAGTTAACTATACAATGCTGAGTGAATACATAATATATAAAACATGATTCCAAATTAAATTTTAAATGGAAAACCCACAATGTTACATCACTGAATCTGGTCTTACCACTGATTTGCTCCTTCTCACAACTGACAGGAATTGGTCTGCGGTTTTGGAGGGGATGAAGCTAGGGAAGGCATTCTGTAACAAGGTCAAGGGAAGGAGAATATGAATCTCAATTACTTGAGATATAAATTTCTTGCTTTGTGCTTTGTGTTATGTTTGAATCTCACTTTATTGACAAATATATAACTTCTGGCACCCTTCCTGGTCATAGCAAGTTTAAAAAAATGAGTTTTAGAACTTTTATGAATGAGGGATGCCATGAAATGGAAAGTAAGGTATGTGAGAAAGGTTGGAGAAAACAAGGTAAGTTAGGAAGGGAAAATGAATAGCTATGGAGGAGATAGTGTCCCTCTCTGTTGAGTTGACTAGACATTGGATAGGATTAAAACTCACTGACAGGAAACTGACCGCAGATATAAAGATCATTGGACCAGTTTCTAAAGGGCTTTATAATATCTTTTCTGGCCATTTTCTATTCCCCTAATCCAAGCACAGGCTTTTCTGCATGTAGGAAGATGGGCAAGATAGATTTTTAGTAGTTCTTTAGCATGGTGGTTCTCAAAGTGTGGTCCAGAAACTCCTGGAGATCCCTGAGATACTTTCAGGGGGTCTATGAGGTCAAAATGCATTTTCATAATAATGCTAAGACATTTTAATAGCTAATACAGTGTATATAAATAGACATGACTCACATAAACAAAAGTCCTGGGCGGGGGTCTTCAATAATTTTTAAGAGTAAAAGGGTCTGGAGACCAAAAAAAATTTAAGAACTAATACTCTAGTGCTTTAACGCTATTAGATGGGGAGTATAGTTTTGTGGTTAGAACTAAGGCTTATGAGTTTCTATTCCTTCCCTATGCTGGGAATTTTTTTTTGGGGGGTGGGATACATTTTAACTTTTCTATTCCTCAGGTTTCCTAAATTATAACAGAAATAATGTTAGCTTAAGAACTACTTTGAGACCTTTACATTCACAAAATTCTAAGGGGAGATAGTGTTCATTCTTGGATGTTTGTACTAAGTGCCTGTTCGGCACTTAAATTAAGACACTGTTTGGTTTTTGAATGGTCCTTACCCTCAAGGTACACAAATAAGTAAAAGTAGTTTTGAGGGTAGGAACTTTTCAGGTATCATAGCCCTGACCTTATGGGAGAGTTTCAGGGATGGTGTGTGGGCTGAGTGTTTCACTGAATTGTGTGAACTTCAGGAAGTTATTCAATCTTCTTGAGTTATGGTTCTCCAGCTGCAAAATTAATTAGGCACTTACCTCCATCACCAGGGTGTGGCAAGGGTCACTGAGCTAATGTTTGTGAAACACTTCAGCATCCTCATCTGAAAGTTGTTAGGTTACTGAGATGTTATTTGAAGAAAGAAAGAAAGAAAAGCTTTCATGCTCTCCAGGACCATTGTCACAACAAAACAGACTCTTTCCAACATATTTCTATTTCTGGTTCTTCTGTCTTTATCATACAAAGCTACTCTTTTTTTTTTAGCTTTTCTGCAAGTGCAAAGTATGTTTGTATAGAAATTAAATAAAAAACATAGGGCATGAAAAAAGGATTTTTTGTTGCTGTTTAAGAGATCAATACTATTAATTTTTCTTTGTTAAGATCCAGTTAAAGTATCTATGCTTCCCTTGGGTAGGAGGGCTTATGAAACATCCAGATGTAATGTTTGATCAGACATCAGAGAGAAAATATGTGAGCACATGTGGTGCCTCTTTCCACCTCCCCATACTTCCCAAAATACTCAAACTAAAAGGTATCATTTAGTTGTATGCTGTGACTACTTTATTCCCTTGGAACATGTAGGTCAGGCTCTATCAGTATATTTCCTTGTGAATTAAAGAATGAAGTCTCACAGTATTTTTCTAGTCACCTAAAAGATACAATTCTTTGTTTTACTTTCTTCACTCTCTCTCCTTTCTTGTAGGTGATGGGACTCTTGACTAACCATGGTGGGGTACCTCACCAGCCTCAGACTGATTATGCTCTCTCACCTCTCACTGGAGGCCTAGAACCAACCACTACAGTGTCTGCGAGCTGCAGCCAGAGACTAGACCATATGAAGAGCTTAGACAGTCTGCCAACATCTCAGTCCTATTGCCCACCAACCTACAGCACCACAGGTTATAGTATGGATCCTGTCACAGGCTATCAGTATGGACAATATGGACAAAGTGAGTACTAGGTCTCTTGAAGGGGGTGATTAATTGCTCTTGGAAATTTTACCTTTGCATTATTTCTTTGCACTATGTAAAGGGGATGGAAAAAATTATTAATTTAACCATTATGATGTAATTATATATGCCTGTAAGAATGTATGTATCTATAATAATGACATTTACATAGCACTTTAAGGTTTGCAAAGTGCTTTGAATACATTTTCTCATTTGTGCCTCAAAACAGGCCCATGAGGTAAGTGTTGCAGATGTTATTATCCCTATTTTATAGATGAGGAAACTGAGGCTCAAAGGGTTAAATGGCACACCCAAAGTCATACAGCTATTAAGTGTCTGAGGTGGGATTAAAACTTGACTGCTTCAAAATAATAGCTTACATTTATATAGCATCTTAGTGTTTGCTTTCTATATATTAGCTCATTTAACCCTTTGGCAATGTTTCTAGAGTGGTGCTATTATTATGTCCTTTTTACAGATAAGGAAATTGAGGCTCAGAGAAGTTAAATGATTTGTCTTGGGTCAAATAGAATCTGACATGGGATTTGAAATCATCTATGTCTATCTAACTATCTTTAATTTATCTGATCCATCCATCCATACATACATCCATATCCATCTATCTGTATTATTTAGCTCCTGTCGTTCATAAATCTGTCTAATCCATCCATTTTATCATCCATCCATCCATCTATCTACCATTCATCAATCTATTTATCAAATCCATCCATGTCATCTATTATTCTACATAATCTGTCTATTAATAATTCATCAATTTAATCTATCCGTAGTCATCTATCTTATCTAACTTCTATCATCATCCATCTAATCTATCTATCTATCTATCTATCTATCTATCTATCTATCTATCTATCTATCTATCTATATCTGTCCATCTATTCATCCCAGAATCAGATCTATTACTGAGATACTGGATCATATAAGGTTTGGTTGCATAATTATTTTCTTAAGTGATGTCAACAACATCTTGATATTATTAATTGCTGAGACATGAAACCTGATTGCCATTAGGTAAAACATAAGGGTTGGCCAAGATGATATAATCACTGGCAGCCCAGTATTAGAAACACATGCTCTTAATGAGGTCAGCTCAAGACTCATTATAGTATATACTCCCACATACACAGAGGTTTGTCAAACTTGTCCCAGGAATAAAAATATTAGTCCCTATCCTTTGATACCCCGGTATTAAATATGACATGGTCAACCTGTAGCTGATGTTACCCCTTGCTGTGAAGTTGTCACAGCCTGACTTAAAAAGCTCCTTTTGCTCTCTTTCAGGTGCCTTTCATTATCTGAAGCCAGATATTGCATAAATGAACTGTCCACTTTGAGTTCAGTCTGGTCCTGTTTCCAGTCTCCATTACATAGACAAGAAGAATCCTCTCTGAAAAAGTCAACCCCTTTGGTGGTGGGGGGTGGGGGAGGGTCATTGTGACAGAAGGTACGGGAGAGTTGTTTTCTTTCTCCAGTAGTTGTTTTCAAAGTACTCTTGGACATGTTGGACAAAACAGGTGAGAAGAGGAAGACCTTAGGCAATACAAGACCAGTGGGGCTTTTTAAGGCAATGCTTTAACATGGCCACACATCAAAATACTCAAACTGTTTAGTGCTGACTGAGAGAACACATTCCATTCTCGCTCCTTTGAGAAATATCCGGCCTGATTTGGACAAGCAGAATGTTCTAAAACTTAGCAGCCCGATGTTGTCGACTAGAACTTGTTGGATGTCCAATGTTGACATTGCTACGATTTTTGAACTGCTCAGTTTCTGAAGCGTGAGCAGAGAGGAACCCTCTAATCTTACACACTGGAAATTGACATCCACAGTCAATATCACCCTCTTTTGGAAGTTAGGATAGATATAAAGGACTTCCAGGATAAATTATTGATGATATTCTCTTTGATAATCCAGTTGTCAATAAAGGTCATAAGCCCATTTTGCTAACGGGAAATGGTATAAAGTGAAGAGGAAAGAAAGAAAGAAAGGAAGAAAGAAAGAAAGAAAGAAAGAAAGAAAGAAAGAAAGAAAGAAAGAAAGAAAGAAAGAAAGAAAGAAAGAAAGAAAGAAAGAAAGAAACTTGGTTGTGTCCTTTGGAGCGGGCTGAGGTGTGTGACTTTTTCCTAATCCCATGTTAATATTTGGAAGCAAGGAGGGGGGAAAACAGTGACGTTGATTTCCAAGACTGCCTAACAATGTGCAATACTGTGTACCTCACAGAAGCTTTGGAAACATCCAAAGTGATATAAATAGAATCAGAACTATATTTTTGCAGGTTTTTATTTTTTCAGTACATAATTCAGTGTGGTAAAATGCAGAGATATTGCAGTTTGCTGGACAACCGAAATCCAGTTTGCTCCTTATAATTCAAGACCATGTCAGAGAATAATGCTTTTTTTAAAAAAAGATTACGTTTACATTCTTTTGTTTTTTACAGAAGACAGGGCAAGAAGAGAAATGCCCATGTGGCTGACATGTAATTTTAAGTTATGCGATGATATCCAATATTAAAAGATTATAGGAATTGAGGTTTACATAAGTTTGTGTTGTGACATTGTAGAATGTCAATAAATTTGTGTTTTGAAATATTAAGAGGAACAGGAAGATGGAAGGCAGTGTTATTTATTTCTCTTTATTCTTTGAACAATGAATGAGGTAGGGCACAAATACATTCCTTTTAGCATTAAGGACTATGAAGTAGGGAGTTAGTGAGCCTAGGCATAGTACAGAGATTAGTACATACATTGGTCTTAAAGGATGATGGACAAAAGAAATTCTTTGTGTTGCAGCCTCTACCAACAACAACGTGTTGTAAAAATGTCTTTCATGTAAAAAGTGCAGTAAATATTTACTATTTATAATGAATAAACGGTTATGAAAACTTGCAAAACCCTGATTTCTCCCCTTGAAAATCTGATGAATTAAATGTTTTTTTAAAAAATTATCTGGAAATGAGGTTCCTACTTGACACATGACCTTCAGGCTGTATTTTTCACATCAGAACATAACCCAGACAAATAATACCGTATGTATGCCCCACACCCCTGTGCCCTGAAAGATGGTCTTTATGCATTGAGGTATTTAAGATTGAGGTATACATTTTCACAGGTGTGGCATCCAGAATAAACCTCCAATCCCACTTTTGCTTTCTAACTCTGGTTCTCAGACCTATCAAATTCCTCTACTATAGCTTTGGCTTCGTGTTTTCCCTTGGACTCCACTTCTCTGTCTACATTCCCTGTTGATCTGTCAGCATGTCTCCCCTACCCAGAAATCCTGGGATGCCTCTAATACTATAGAAATCCTCATTCACGACATTTATCCACCTTTAAGTTGACAGCTCGCTTGGATTCTGTCATAAAAGTGTTCTTATCTACCCTCTTACATGCAGAAAGATCTGAAAGCCTCTGGCTTCATTCTTTAAAATTCTTAGAGACTGCCCTTTATTGCATTATTCAATACAATGACAATAATTATAGCTAGCATTTATATAGTTCTTACCATACACCAGGTACTGTGCTATTATTATATTTGTCTCATTTGATCCTCACAATAATTCTGGGAGTTGGTACTATTATTATCCTTATTTTATGTATGAAGAAACTGAGGTAAACAGATATTTAGTAACTTGCCCAGTGTCACACAGCTAGGAAGGATCTATGACTTCATTTGAACTCAGGTCTTCCTGACTTCAGGCTCATTACTCTATCAATGGTACCACTTAACTACCAATGATAGATTCATAATTGGAAGGGACCTTAGTGCATAAGTCATGCTGTCACACCCTAGATCTTTTTCCTCAAATCTAGTTTTGTATATGAAGAAACTGAGACCCAGGGAAGTTGAGTTACGTATCTGCCCAATTTAGGTCTTTTAACTCCATCCCAAGTCCTCTTTCCACAGCAACACCTCAGCTTATTTTATGAATCCTGCTTCCCCACCCCTTCTTTCATACTCCCACTTTTCTATTTAAATGGCAGAACCTTGCCTGACAGTCCTGTATTTAACTGTTTCTAAAAGATCTCACCATTTTCCCTTCATTTTACCAGTCCTCTACCACTATGTCTAGCCTTGTTTACACATGTTAGAACCTCATCCTAGGCACCACCCAACAACAGCATTGGACATGCAATGGATGGGGAGAAATGCCAAGTGGGGGACATGGAGACTTTTGGCAGTACGTTAACTTTATTTATCGTTGTTTTCAATCATGAAACCTAGTTTATATCAATTTCAAGAAGAACATGACTGAAATACAGGTGGGGCCACGAACCTTCCCTTCCTGATGGAAGAAAACATTTTGTTATTGCTTATTGTAGATTTAAGCTGTTTTTCTATTAGAAACCTAGGTTCTAGTAAACATTGGAAATGGATGGGAAACAGGGAGGGGAAGATTAGATCCAAGATGCATGATTACAAGTAGAGCACAGGGAGGTAGGTGGAACAAGACGGTAGGTGAGAAAAGGTGTAGGTTGTTCATTGGTATCTATTATCTCAGATCCTGAGAAGGAAGGATGGGTGGGTGAGCAGGGAAGTCCACTAGCCACCAACTGACACAGATTGAAAACAAGTTGATCTGGGAGGGGATCCCTGTTGGGAGCAAAATGGAAACTTGACGCTTTTGGAAGGAAATAAGGGAAACCTACTCTCATGACCTTAACAATAACAATCTTTCTATGTAACATTTATAATATCTATGCTTTGCAAAGCCCTTCACATATGTCAACCTTGTTTGATCCTCACAACAACCCTGAAAGGAAAATGCTATTGTTATGATCCCTATTTTATAGATGAGGAAAATGAGGCTGTGCTTAAATGATGCACATATGGTAACATAACTAATATGTTTGAGGTAGATTTGAACTCATGTTTTCCCTGAGTCCTGGACAGTGCTTAGATTATACCACCTCATTGCAATGTAATTAGAAAAGCCAATATTTCTCCAAAGAGGGCAAAGTTATAGGCCATAACTGGCTAGTAGATTTGCTTCAAACAAACTTACCAGGATAGAGAGAATGAACAAATAATAATAGCTAATAGCTGATATTCATATAATAAAGTTTGCAAAGAGCTTTGCAAAAATCTTATTTTATCCTCATAACAACCATGGTAGGTAGGTGCTAATATTACCCCTACTTTACAGATGAAGAAACAGGCAGTGAGGCTAAATGATTTGCCCATGGTCACCCAGCTGGTAAGTGTCTCAGGCTGAATTTGAACTCAGGTTTTCCTGAATCAAGATCCATTGCTTTCTCCACTGCAGCCCTCTACCTGACAAGGAGGATTCAAGGCAGGAATATGCTGAAGCCAGCTCTGATTGGCTTTAAAGAGCCAACTTTTCAATTTTCAGTGCAAACATCTACAACTCAGAGACTGACACACACTATAAATCAGGTCTTGAATTTTTTTGTTGATTTGTTGACTTTAGAAAGCAATGGAGAAAATATTAATAATGCATATTAAACTTTAAAGGGTCTCAAAGAGATAGCTAGTTAATACAGTAGATAGAGTGCTGACCTCAGAGTCAGGAAGACCTGAGTTCAAATGTGACCTCAGACAATCACCAGGGCAAGTCACTTAATGTTTGTTTACCTCAGTTTCCTCAACTGTAAAATGGAGATAATAATATTACCTACTTCATAGGGTTGTGGTGGGACTCAACTAAGACAGTCTTTGTAAAAAGTGATTAGCACAATGCCTGTGCTCTTCAAATGCTTATTCCCTCATGTGTGCATTTTTACCCCACAGAAGCCAGTTGTTAAAACATTTATCAACACACTACTAGCTTAAAGGCAAAAGAAAGTTTCTAGGAGCCAGAGCCAGGGAGATGTACCAGAGGAAGAAGGAAGTCAATGCAGAAAAGTGTAGGCCTTAAAAAGGAATCTTGGGAGGCTAGGGAAAGGTTAACTTTGCTTAGAACACTAGAGGATAAGACAAGGACTTCTATAGTCCATCGCCAGTGAGACTGATGACTAAGGAAGTGGCCTTGGAAAACTCAAGCTCAAGAGAGGATTTATGGGACTGGGGATGGTGATGGTAGAGGAAGAGAAGGACATGCCCATAGTGGGGAAAAAAACAAAACAGGCTTGACCTAGACTAGAGAAACATTCTAGAAGGGCTGAGACCCCAACCAGCCACGGGGTCAGAGAACCTCAGAGCTGGAAGGGCCCTTAGCAGCCATCTAATGCAACATGTTCCTCCCAAAGACACCTTCTAAAGACAGCTGACTAGTAATTATCCAGAAATCCCCCAGTAAAGGAATTATACTAGGGACTGAGGCCATTGTCAACTCTGATTGTTAGGAAGTTTTTCCTGT